TTTTACTTCGACTGTGTTCCAACAGACTCAAATGTTTTTAATTTCGTAAATTCCGGTGGTACGTAATTAATATTGTAATAAAATGTGCATATTTTTTGTGATCATTTCTGTTACTTCATTGTGAAAATCAATGACGACTCAACTAATTTCGTAATTTGATTTCCCTCAAAGACGTAATCTGTCACTTGATGAATCAAATTTTTCATTTGCACTCTTTTTCGAGGGGGGTGCTCGGGTAAGCGCCCACCCCTAAAAAATCGTGATTTTCTGAGTTGAGGCCCCTGGGCGCTAACACGGTCGAGTACGGTAAATCAATTTTGCAGCCGTTTTGCAAAATAGAAGTTTACTTACACTACTACCACTACTGATACCTAGTTGTAATACACTGTTGTGATACTTCCTTCTAAGAATTTGCAGCAAATTTAAAAAGATAATTTATTTTACTCAGGTCTATAGACAACACATGTTCCCAGATAGAGATTACACAGTTTCCGACCACTGATGTCCATAACATACTTTGGTAAGAAAGTCAACTGAAAGAAAAACTCAGAACCAACAATCTATTCTTGGCTCATAACCAACGCTGGCGTTTTTTTACGAATTTCAAACAGTTTCCATGAAAATGTGTTTGTTATTCTCTTTCCTTTAGCACCACAGTTGAAGCAGTCTCTGCAGACATATTGAGATCGATACCCGGAAAGTAGGAATGTACAGTAGGCTGCACTACTCGGCTAAACAATTCATGCGTATATGGGGCAATGTGAACGCGCACATAATCCAGCGTGGTCTAGTACTGAAAAAAACAGTTACCAATTCAAACAGTAGGCCTATGCTTTGCATGGGCGATGTCGTCAGTATCACGTATATCTGACCATGTACATATTACTTTTATGATCTGAAACACATATCCGATTTGGCAGATATCGATCTACATAGGCACACGAGATCATCAAAATCAATATAACGTTACGGCAACGTTCACATGCCTCCTGACGACACGACGTGATGCGGCTAATAGTTTTCCGACCAAACGTTATCCTTCTTCAGGTATTACTGGGTGTTTATTAAGAAAAAAATAATGACTAGAACTCACCCTTTGTCCAGCACAGAGTTGTTTTCCGAATTCCCAAATGATAAACCCGATATTGGTCAAAATATGACAACAAATTCAAACCTACAAAGAAGTTTATTCAAAATGGTTGCCACCTAAAGGTGGTGCATTCTGGGATGTCTTGTCAAGTTGACCTCTAGAGGGCATCGTCGCATAAAATAAACGTTGATCTATCACACTTTGAAGAAAGTTTAAGGTAGCGAGACTATTATTTGTGTTGAAAATTACGATTTTCACATTCATTTATTAATTGATGAAATGCACTATAAACTTTCATATGATAAAATCAACATAACATAGAATGTCATGTAAGTTGGTTAAAATGTATATTTTCTGAAGGGAAGCAAGGCAGCCTCAGTAGTGTTTTCCAAAATCAACAGCACAGGTTTAATCTGTGTGCCTATAAGTTTCAAAGATAAACTCAAGACAAAGCAATGTTAGGATGTGTTATCAGTAGCTATCTGACACACAATGAGTGTTTCCAAACATTCGAGT